AGCATTTGATCACTGAATGTGGTGTCAATTGTCTCACGCTTGTTCTCAGTTCTCTAACCTTCACATGAAGATCACAACAAATATTTTCCTCTATACCGTAACCAGGAAGTGTTTGTACTGTATGTACTGAAGTAGAATCTTGATGCATAGAGGACTCCGGTTAGATATAATTTACACAAATGTTTTTGGAAGGGCTGGATAGATATTGGGTATATTATACTGGTGATATATATTATTTTCATTAAAATGTTAAAAGATCACAGTATTGTGCTCTCAATAGACGAAGCTATGAAATTTAATATGTAGCAGCAACAGACTTGCTGGTGTCTTCTGTCCATATACATTACAGTACCCAATGATGTAAATGAGCAAAGACATAGAAACCAACCCTCTCTCCCTCAGAATTGTGTGCAGATCCCAACCCTGAATACACTTATTCATATACCTAAATGTAAGCACATACCTAGCCATTGACTTCAGTGGAGCTATGCACATGCTTAGCTTTAAACAGGTGCCTAGCTACCTGCAGAATTGGAGCCTTAGAATGGGATCCATGCTCGCATGTTTGATTGCAGGGTTTCATTGTGTTGTACTGTTCAGAATTGGAACAAGATTTTGGAAATGGATTTTAGGACTGAATAAAGCTTTTCCAAATAGTATTCAATAGACCTTTTCCAAATATTTTGAGTGATACAGTACTACTACTTACAAACTCCACATAAATATTGGCTCTCTATATCAAAAATGCATGACTCAAAGGGTAAAGCATGACTCACATCATAATTAGTCCCCATCTTTACAGCTTCAGCACTTACGGTGGCCTGGCTGTTTTGAAAATGCAGTTGCTAAGAGCTTCAAAGTTGTTATGATATCAGATCAGAAGTGAATAGCTCTAGTAAATGAATGAAAACCTTCCACTGACCCGTGAAATTAAAATATCAGACTTGTAACCCAAGTAACTCTGCTGTGCACAAATTGATGGCAATTACTCTCACCATAATTATCTTGAAGTTAAAAATCTCTCATTATGCAGAGCCGTTAAGAAACCTGCCCTGCTGTTGTTTTACATGCAAAACTTCCGTCTTCACTACTAGGGATTATTCATGTGGAAGAGCTGCAGGATTAAGTCGTAAATTAACTTTAGGATTAAAAAAGTAAAACTAAATAAAAAAATCCAGGAGCCCAGTGTCTTAAATTCTTTTTTCTTCTCAACATTTTTCATAGCTCCAAGTACACTGATCAAGCTGAAAGTCATCAGCGCTTTGAAATTTGATTCTCAACATCACAGTCATGTAAAATGTATCATCCAAGGCTAAATGCTAAATAAGAAAGCAGAAATTAAATGCCTCCTGCCTGGAGCTCCCATTGCCTTCAATGAGAATCATAGAATCATAGAATATCAGGGTTGGAAGGGAACCCTGAAGGTCATCTAGTCCAACCCCCTGCTCGAAGCAGGACCAATTCCCAGTTAAATCATCCCAGCCAGGGCTTTGTCAAGCCTGACCTTAAAAACCTCTAAGGAAGGAGATTCTACCACCTCCCTAGGTAACGCATTCCAGTGTTTCACCACCCTCTTAGTGAAAAAGTTTTTCCTAATATCCAATCTAAACCTCCCCCCACTGCAACTTGAGACCATTACTCCTCGTTCTGTCATCTGCTACCATTGAGAACAGTCTAGAGCCATCCTCTTTGGAACCCCCTTTCAGGTAGTTGAAAGCAGCTATCAAATCCCCCCTCATTCTTCTCTTCTGCAGGTGAAACAATCCCAGCTCCCTCAGCCTCTCCTCATAACTCATGTGTTCTAGACCCCTAATCATTTTTGTTGCCCTTCGCTGGACTCTCTCCAATTTATCCACATCCTTCTTGTAGTGTGGGGCCCAAAACTGGACACAGTACTCCAGATGAGGCCTCACCAATGTCGAATAGAGGGGAACGATCATGTCCCTCGATCTGCTCGCTATGCCCCTACTTATACATCCCAAAATGCCATTGGCCTTCTTGGCAACAAGGGTACACTGCTGACTCATATCCAGCTTCTCGTCCACTGTCACCCCTAGGTCCTTTTCCGCAGAACTGCTGCCTAGCCATTCGGTCCCTAGTCTGTAGCGGTGCATTGGATTCTTCCATCCTAAGTGCAGGACCCTGCACTTATCCTTATTGAACCTCATCAGATTTCTTTTGGCCCAATCCTCCAATTTGTCTAGGTCCTTCTGTATCCTATCCCTCCCCTCCAGCGTATCTACCACTCCTCCCAGTTTAGTATCATCCGCAAATTTGCTGAGAGTGCAATCCACACCATCCTCCAGATCATTTATGAAGATATTGAACAAAACCGGCCCCAGGACCGACCCTTGGGGCACTCCACTTGAGACCGGCTGCCAACTAGACATGGAGCCATTGATCACTACCCGTTGAGCCCGACAATCTAGCCAGCTTTCTACCCACCTTATAGTGCATAAGATTCATTCATGGACAGCCTACAGGATTAGGCCCACAGCCAACTATGAAAGAGAGATGATCTCTCATACATACACACATCGGCCACCTCAGGCTATTTAAATAGATGCTTTTTGTGTTTGTTTAGAAACAAACAAATCATTACTCCCAAATTCAAGCCATGAGCCAGCAGTTCATATTCACCTGGTGGTAATTGTAATAGATCTGATTATTATGCTCTGCATTTATAAAGGGCCCATTGCTGTGGCAACTGGAGCACTTCTCCACAGGAGTTAAAAGCAAGCCCACATGGGTAGACGCAGATGTCAAGTTACTGCAATGTTTGCCAGGAAGAAAGAAAACGAAAAACTAAACAAAATCTCAAACCCAAATCAGCCTATTTTGCCCCACAGCTCTTGAAACCAGCCAGCTAGTTCATTTTATTCACCCTCTGCATTTTATTAGAGGTGGATGTGAACTTGAGAACCACTGTGTGGAGACGTGAGGGACCATCTTTTTGTTCTGTGTTTGCACAGCACCGAATGCAATGGGCCTTTGTCCATGACCGGGGCTCCTAATTTGAGCTCAGAACTTGCAAGATGAGGATAAGTGGACAGTTACTGCCCGACGTGAACTATTGATCATGTGTCAACCGGGGGGGAACATGGTATTTACTACTGTAAATCAGCTAAGTACATATAACCCAAGTGCAAAGACATGCCAAAGGGTATATTATTAACTGGAGTTAAGGTTTATGGCCGAAAATTATTGCACTGCAAGTTAACAGCACAACTGGGTTTTCACCGTAGAGCTACGTACACAGACACAGCTCTAGGTTACCACACAATGTGCTGTGTGACCATTAGCATGGTGTGGAGGCCAGTGAAGTCTCCTGGCTGTCAGGCTGCAGACTGTCCTGGATTCCATTAAAATAGGCCTGGTTTGCCAGTCATTACATTGCTGGGATACACAAGCTGAAGGTTGCCATAGGGAAGCTCTCAGCCCCACAGTACATTTTTAAGGGCTATCTGAAGAAAAAAAAGGACTGAGTTTTGAACTGTAGAAATGCAAGGGGTTGTTTCCTCTTGAAGGGGAGAATTTCTGCTTCCAAAAGTCAATGCTGTGCTTACAAGCCAAGTTTTCCAAACAAGTACTGATCAGGACACAGCATTGCCCAGACAGAGCAGGAACTATTTCCAAAAGACTGGCTTGCTCGCCGTTGCTGAGGCCTTACAAACTCATTGCAGAGAATGCTCCTAAATGCCTCCAGCTGCTGCCCCACCTTCCATTCCCAGCTCCGTGCGCCCCCTGCAGCCAGAGTCACCCACAGCCACTGGACGCGCTCTGGGCGCCTTCTCCAGCCACCCCAGCTCCGCGCGCCCCCTGCAGCCAGAGTCACCCACAGCCAGTGGACGCGCTCTGGGCGCTTTCTCCAGCCACCCCAGCTCCGCGCGCCCCCTGCAGCCAGAGTCACCCACAGTCACCTGACAAGCTCTGGGCGCTTTCTCCAGCCACCCCAGCTCCACGCGCCCTCTCCAGCCACCCCAGCTCCACGTGCCCCCTGCAGCCAGAGTCACCCACAACCACCGGCCGCGCTCTGGGCGCCCTCTCCAGCCACCCCAGCTCCGCGTGCCCCCTGCAGCCAGAGTCACCCACAGCCACCGGCCGCGCTCTGGGCGCCCTCTCCAGCCACCCCAGCTCCGCGCGCCCCCTGCAGCCAGAGTCACCCACAGCCACCGGCCGCGCTCTGGGCGCCCTCTCCAGCCACCCCAGCTCCGCGCGCCCCCTGCAGCCAGAGTCACCCACAGCCACCGGCCGCGCTCTGGGCACCCTGTCCAGCCACCCCAGCTCCGCGCGCCCCCTGCAGCCAGAGTCACCCACAGCCACCGACCGCGCTCTGGGCGCCCTCTCCAGCCACCCCAGCTCCGCGCGCCCCCTGCAGCCAGAGTCACCCACAGCCACCGGCCGCGCTCTGGGCGCCCTCTCCAGCCACCCCAGCTCCGCGCGCCCCCTGCAGCCAGAGTCACCCACAGCCACCGGCCGCGCTCTGGGCGCCCTCTCCAGCCACCCCAGCTCCGCGCGCCCCCTGCAGCCAGAGTCACCCACAGCCACCGGCCGCGCTCTGGGCGCCCTCTCCAGCCACCCCAGCTCCGCGCGCCCCCTGCAGCCAGAGTCACCCACAGCCACCGGCCGCGCTCTGGGCGCCCTCTCCAGCCACCCCAGCTCCGCGCGCCCCCTGCAGCCAGAGTCACCCACAGCCACCGGCCGCGCTCTGGGCGCCCTCTCCAGCCACCCCAGCTCCGCGCGCCCCCTGCAGCCAGAGTCACCCACAGCCACCGGCCGCGCTCTGGGCGCCCTCTCCAGCCACCCCAGCTCCGCGCGCCCCCTGCAGCCAGAGTCACCCACAGCCACCGGCCGCGCTCTGGGCGCTTTCTCCAGCCAATCTCCTGCCTGCCGGAGCTGCCGCCCCCTACGAGAGGCGCTGCGAGCCTAGCCAGAGCGCCTGCCCCCTCCCACGCCGTCCCCAGCAGTTGCCCGTTTGGAGGCGAAGGGCGCTCGCTGACCTGGCATGATGGCGGTAGCTTGGGGATCCCGACCGGGGGCAGTGTGTGGAGACTTCCTTGTTTTGCAGCCGCAGCAGCCAGTCCCTCCCCTCCGTACGCTCACGGGCCCGTCCTCCTCCGACTGGCAGGCGGCGGCTGCAGGGAGCCCCAGCTGCTGGGGCTCTGGTTACAGCCTAATGCCTCCCTCCACCAGTCTCTCCAACATCATCCACCCGCCCAGCTGCACGTCAAAAGAAGCCGCCGCCCGCCCGGCTCTCAGCAGTGAAGGTGGCCCAAGGCTTCCTTCTCCTCGCTCCCTCCCCGGGACCGGCAGATGTCGTCTGCAGGCTGCATGTCGGGTGGTGATGGGACCTGTTAACTCCTGGAACAAGGCACCGACTCGGATGACCCAGAAAGAATCACGCCTGGAGAATAAATGAGCTCTGGGGTTCTGAGCCTCGGCTCCTAGCTACAGGGGCTCAGCAGCAGCCCCGGCCTTGGCACGGAACTGGCCTCCTTTAGACATTCCTTTTCTTGGTCCTTAACCCCGTCTGTAGTATGGGAAAGCAACAGGAGGAGCAAGGCAAGTGGATGGTTATTTCAGTACAAAGCAAGCACCTTCCAAAGACAGCAAGGGAAGCCAGCTCTTCAGTGCCCAAGAAGGGGGGAGTGTGTGTGAAAAGGGGCCACTGGGGGTACACAGAGGTCACATATGCAAGAGAGCAGTGCCCTCAGTTGGTGGGCAGGGAAGCAGTCTTTCATGCACGCTAGGCATTTACTAGAAATGGGCTCAAGCCATAACATACCATCCAGATTTCCAAAGTGCCCCGATGGGTGGATTTTCTATTTAGTTTGTGCACAACACTAGCACGTAATAGCCGTGGGGGCTCAGAGCTGCCCTGCGGTGGGAGTGTGTGTGGAGTGGGACCAGTCACACCAAATAGCACTTACTTGAGTAGTCCTGCTGAAGTCAATGGGACTACGGGCTTGCTACCAGTCTAAATAGAGATTACAGAGTAAGGTCCCAGATCAGATGACCAGCAAAGTGCATGGAGCACCTTGTGCCGTGCATCCCTTTGCCCTAGCAAGATCCCTGTGACAAAGAAATGGCTCCCTATTTCTCACCAGTCAGGACAGGATTTGGTGATGTTCTAGTGTGACCCAGGGACCTCTTAGGGTACGTCTAAACAGCAATTAAACACCCCGCGAATGGCCCAGGTTAGCTGACTCAGCTCAGGCTTGTTGAGCTCAAGTTGCAGGGCTGTAAAATTGCAGTGCAGATGCTCAGACTCAAGCTGGAGCCTGAGCTCTGAGATCCTGCAACGGGGGAGGCTCCTGGAATCTGGCCTCGAGGCTCCAGCCTGAGCCCAAACATCTACACTGCAATTTTTAGCCCCATGTGGCCAAGTCAGCTGACTCAGGCCAGCTGTGGCCGTGCCATGGGTCTTTTATTCCAGTGTAGACATACCTGTAGTGCCAGCAGGCGTGTCATGTATGGATAATATGAAGGCGTTATGTATCTACACTGAAACTTATGTTCTTAAGGTTTGTGAGTTGCGGTCACTCACCAGAAGTAGATAAGTTTCTTTCAGGAAGAAGATGTTTATCTATCGGTCAGTCTACATATAAACTGAGTATTGTACACTTCTCAATGAATGCCCATTTACAATCTGAGCAAAACGATAAACAAGTGATAGCAAACTCTCCAGGGGAGATTCTAGACAGGAAAACACAAGCAGCAGCAGTTATCCTGTTTGCAAGTGAAAACAATGGATTTGTGGACTATTACTATAGGGACAGAGACAAACTCTGCATCTTTCCACAGAGGAGGCAAGAAGACAGAGTGACTCGCCCTATGAACAGAAGTTCACAGCCATGCCTGGCTGTAGTATGCTGGAAGAATTTGGGGTGAGCTTTTGTTCTACATGACATGACAATGGCTTGGTAGTTAGGATTAGGCTCTAGTGTAGCATTTTTCAAAGTTCAGGTCGCAACCCAACACTGGGTCACGGCATGGAAGGCACCGGGTCGTTCTGGTCAGCATCGCCGACCAGGCCATTAAAAGTCCCGTCGGCAGTCCTGCCCAGCTAAGGCAGGCTAGCGCCTACCCGTTCTGACACCACTCTGCGCCCTGGAAGCAGGCAGCAGTGGGTCCAGCTTCTAGGCAGGGAGGCCATGGGGCTCCACTTGCTGCCCCCACCCCGAGCACCGGCTGTGTACTCCCATTGTCCGGATCCCGGCCAATGGGAGCTGTGGGGGTGGTGCCTGTGGGCGAGAGCCATGTGGAGCCGCTTGTGCACCTCCACCTAGGAGCTGGACCTGCTGCTGGTTGGTTCAGATGCAGCGTGGTCCGAGGTGCCAAGACAGGCAGGAAGCCTGCCTCTGCATCCCTGCTGCACCACTGACCGGGAGCCACTGGAAGTAAGCCCACGCCCCAATACCCTGCCCCAGCCCTGAGCCCCCCTCTCAAACCTGAGCCCCTTCCTGCACCCCAAAGCCCTCATCCCCAGCCCCACCCCAGAGCCTGGACCCCCTCACGCACCCCCAACCCTCTGCTCCAGCCCTGAGCCCCTCCAACTCAGAGCCCCTCCTGCACCCCAAACCCGTCATCCACAGCCCCACCCCAGAGCCTTCACCCCCAGCCCAGAGCCCTGACCCCCCTCCTACACCCCAACCTCCTGTCCAGAGCCCCCTCCCACACCCCAACCCCCTCATCCCCAGCTCCGTTGGGTCGCGGGCATCAACAATTTTCTTCAACTGGGTCCCCAGAAAAAAAGTTTGAAAACTACTGCTCTAGTGTGCATGTTCTGATTTTAATTTCTTATGTAACCCTTTGTTTCCAATATTTCTGCTTGCTATTAATTGACTCTGTGCTTCGTTAAATAAACGTTCGCTTGCTTTCTCTAGAAACACATCTAAATGGTGCATGTGAAGTGGAGCTGTGGTGTATCGTTCCTCTGGGAATTCTGGGAGCGTCCCGTGAATCGGGCTGGGCACACCAGGGAGACGCTTGGGGGATTGGAGTGTGCCTGTTGTTAACCTGTAAAGAGACAGCAGGGCCTGTGGAGGCCTGGAAGGGCTTGGGTTGCCAGAGGCTGGTGGGCAATGAAAATGATTAGGGGTATGGAACAGCTTCCATACGAAGAGAGATTAAAATGACTGGGATTGTTCACCTTAGAAAGGATGATTAAGAGATGATAGAGATTTATAGCATCATGAACGGTGTGCAGAAAGTGAATAGGAAATGTAATGTACCATTTCACATAACGTAAGAATTAGGGAGTCATCCGATGAAATTAATAGGAGGCAGGTTTAAAACAAACATAAGGAAATACTTCTTCTCACAACACACAGTCAACCTGTTGAATTCACTGCCCTGGGATGTTGTGAGGGTCAAAAGTATAAATAGGTTCAAAAAAGAACCTCATGCTCCTGTCATAAACCTCTGACTGCCAGAAGCTAGGACTGGATGACAAGGGATGGATCACTTGAAATTGCCCTGTTCTGTTCATTCCCTCGGAAGCATCTGGCATCAGCCACTGTCAGAGACAGGATACTGGACTAGATAGACCGTTGGTCTGGCCTAATATGGCCATTTTTATGTTCTTATGAGTCAGAGACCTCAGTGGTGGCAGCAGGAGTTCTGGTTAATTTTTGTCAGGTCTGACCTCTGGGAGGTAGAGAAAGAGTTTATTAAACAGACCAAGGTAAATGATGGAGTGTGCCAGGGATGGAGAGACATTGGAGAACATATTTCTCTAGTCAGGAAAGATGTGCTTAAGGAGGCTGATATAATCCCAGGGGAAGAGGTAAAACTCCTACCCTTGAGGCAGTTTAAAACCATAGCGCTTTTAGCCCGCATTGAGTTAGAGTGGGAAGGTTTAAGGGGTATTTTGAATGGGGTAGGTCTTAAGAACTTACCAGCTGATATGTTGGTTGGAAATGACATCGTATCACTGCCCAAAGCTGTTAGCATTGTGACTTGTAGCCAAAAGAGGTGTGTCTCTGAGTTCCTAGAGGTAAACTCTGAGGTGGGAGAGGCAGCAAGGGGGTGGGAGAAGAAACCTGTGCTCTTATCAGCAGAAAGTAGCAATGTGGCTGTAGGGCAGGGAGAGGTGGAGTCATCCCCTTTACTTGAAGCAGCCCTCAGTGCAAGGAAAAGCCAAAGGTAGTGTGCTGCGGAGCAAAGTGCAGATCGGTCTTTGGAAAGCATAAGGGGGCCCACCCATGGCAACACCCCAGAGAATGAGCTCAAGGGGAGATTCTTTACAGACATAGGAAAGATGTATAGACCTATGTCTGTAAAGAATCTCCCCTTGAGGAAGCCCCAGTGAACAAAAACAGAAGTCAGGGGGATCCCTAAAAAGAATTGATTGTAGTAAATCAAAATTTTAAAAATCTAATGTTTTTACCGTTTTTTCTGCTTGTTTACATTTTGCATTTCACTCTGTATCGCCAATGAAACTGTACAAAGGCTTAAAAGGTTCCCTTTTTTATCTTTGATTCCTATAGTAAACACCACACCTGCCAGCAGGGTGGAGGATTAAATGGATTCTGCTGACTCTCTGAGGCAGATGATTTATTCACAGAAAGTCACCTAAACCACTGGTTTTCAACCTCTGGTCTGTGGATCCCTGGGGGTCCGCAGACTATGTCTAAGGCAGGGATTCTCACAACAAAAATTTTGGTGGCCTCAGAGTGTGGCCACCAACTCTTGATGGTGGCCACTCTGATAATTTTTCCTAAAATACTGAATGAACTTTAGGAAAAACAAATAAATATGTACATATACAGGTCCAAATTAGTCTAATTTATTTATGTAGGGTTTTTTGCAGATCTAATAATAAAAATAATGTACAGTTGTCTGTATTCTTTACTGGATCTAGACAGAATAGAAACAAAAATAAGCTGTAGCTCACGAAAGCTTATGCTCAAATAAATGTGTTAGTCTCTAAGGTGCCACAAGTACTCCTTTTCTTTTTGCGAATACAGACTAACACGGCTGCTACTCTGAAACAAATAAGGTGCTTTGCATGTTCTTGTCTTTTGTTGTTGTTTTGTTTTTTTGGTTGCTTTTTTATGACTTGCTAGCTAGTAAGTCTGCTTCTGTGAAAAGCGATATTTGTATGTTTGCTAATACCACTT